GATGCCACTGGACTCTCACTTGGCTGACCATGGTTCAATCCCATAGCAGGCGACTTCCTTTCTCACTCTCTCTCTCTCACTCTCACTCTTCACTCGGGTCAAATTAAAATAAATAAATGGGTAAATAAAGTTAAATAAAATACTTCTTTAAAAAAGAACCCACTCCTGCAATAACTAACAGGAAAATGGCATGAATTCATTCATGAAGCAGAACCCTCGTGATATTATTAGCTCCTAATGTTGGTCTCACCTCAAAAATGGTGCTCTTGACAATGGGTGCCATGGAGCTTCTTTTAGTCATTGAATGGTCTAAAGTGGAGTAAGTCCTGGACTGAGACCTTGGCGTCTGCCCCTGTAATTATCCCAAGCCTGACACAAAGTGGCCTCCCCATCCCTATCCTGCTGCAGCCACAGCGTCACCCCTGGTGCCCTTCACTCTCAACTTCACCATCACCAACCTGCGCTTCAGGGAGGACATGCGGCCTCCAGGGTCCGGGAAGTTCAACATCACAGAGAAGGTTCTGCAGGGCCTGGTGAGAGCCACACCCTCCTCTTCACCCCTGCACAGCCCACTGCTCTAACCACCCTCCTCACTCTACCCCTGCCAGTCCCACTCCTGCTCACCTTGACGACCATCCCACCAACCAAAGATGGGCCTGCCCTGCCTCTCACAACTTCTGCTCTCCTCTCTCTCTCTCCACAGCTTGGGCCCTTGTTCAAGAACACCAGTGTCGGCCCCCTGTACTCGAGCTGCAGCCTGGCCTTGCTCAGGTGAGACCTTGGACTACCTGGAGAGGGGACTGCAAGGGTTCCCAGGTCTGAGCAATATGGCAGACTCCCTGCCGGCTCTCTCTGTGAATGTTCTCAGCAGAGATGGCGTTGAGGGGACCGTGGGCATCGTATCCTATCTTATCCTCACATCTATCCCCCAGCTGTCCTCAAATTCTCCTGAGACCGTCAGCAACACTGAATCCCTACCCAAGTGGTCCCTTCCGAATTCCTTCCTTCACTCCCTCCTTTAGACGAAGAAGAATATTTCCTTCTGTTTTTAAATTCTCTCTCTTTTTCCCTTCTTTATTTTTGGAGAGATTTTTTGCTATAGGCCATGTGCGCTTTCTCGAGAAACAGAGACAGAAACAGAAACAGTTCCTTCTCCTTTATCTGACTCTTGGGATTCTGGGCATTCCCGCACACGCCCAGCATGAATTTTCAGTCACT